TGCAGCTAGGCTTAATCTCCCCAGCATTCCCACCCGCTCCAGAGGCCCATGTCACTCCAGACCAGGGAGTGTAGGCCTCTATCTAGGCTCTGTTTCCTCTCTGGGGACACCAGGTCCTAGGCAAGAGAACTCGGCAGGCTCTCCTCATGGCAGTCTTATTCCTCCTCCTTCTGTTCCTCTGTGGATGCCCCCAGGCTGCTGCAGGTAAGGAGCAGGAGGTGGGGGATTCTGCAAGGTTGCGAGGGACCGTCGCTGTTTTCTCCTTCGGGGCCTGGGAAGACATCTGACTCAAGAAGATAGAGTTACCCCAAATGACCTCCCCCTGCCTCTAATACTGGGGAAGACCCAGAGACAATGAAGGTCCAGATCATATATAGTTTCTTTCAGAAAATAAGAACGGATGAGTAAATGCTCCTAGAAAAGGAGAAATGAGAGGTAGAGATATGGTCATTTGCCAACTATTCCAGCCTTTCCCCCTCTTGCCCTCAGACTCCCTCACTCACTGGGGAAAGAGAGGAGGAAAGCCCCTAATCTTCTCTCTCCACCTCACAGTTTTCATAGCTGTCACTTGAGAAATGTGCTCACAGTAAGACCAGTGCTGGGCAACCTCAGAAAGGGAGGAAACCAGGGGTTGGAAGTCCAGTGGGGGGTTGTTGATCTGATGAAGGTCTCTGGCCTCATACAAGCCCCTCCCCACAGACAACATCCAGGACATCTATTCAGCCTTGGGAGAAGCAGTGGAGCTGCCATGTCCCTCACCACACACCCTGCATGGGGATGAACTCCTGTCCTGGTTCCGCAGCCCTGCAGCAGGCTCCTCTACTGCCCTGGTGGCCCAAGTCCAAGTGGCCAGGCCAGCCCCAGACCCTTGGAAGTCTGGAAGAGAATCCAGGTTCAAACTGCTGGGGAACTACTCTTTGTGGCTGGAAGAGTCTAAGGAGGGAGACGCTGGGCGGTACTGGTGCGCTGTGCTGGGTCAGCGCCACAAGTACCAGAACTGGAGGGTGTACGATGTCTCTGTGCTCAAAGGTGAGTGGGGGCATGCAGACCAGGGGCGACTGGGAGATGTGGAAGCCCAGGCAAAGAACTGAGGAGTCCCTCTCTCCTCACAGGATCCCAGTTATCTGCAAGGGCTGCAGATGGATCCCCCTGTTCTGTCCTCCTGTGCTCTGTGGTCCCCGCCAGACGCCTGGACTCTGTGACCTGGCTGGAGGGGAAGGGTCCTGTGACGGGCCGTGTGCAGTCCTTCTGGAGTGAAGGGGCTGCCCTGCTCTTGGTGTGTCCTGGGGAGGGGCTTCCTGAGCCCAGGGGCTGGAGACCAAGGATCATCCGCTGCCTCTTGCCTCAGAACAAAGGGGTCAGCTTTAACCTGGCAGGTAAACTGAGAGAAGATATGGGAAAGGATGTTCCTTCTGGCACATCCCACACCTGCTGGCTAGGGGAGATGGTGAGAGAGGAGGCAAATCTGTTAATGACCAGGTCAGAAGGGGTGATTTCTGACCATCGCCTGCAGGAGAAGGGCTTTTTCTCTCATCATTCCATACCAGAGAAAGAAGTTGGTTAAGCCAGCTTTCTGATAGACCATAGCCAAGTAAGAGAATAATAATTCTGATGGAATATGCCATTGTTTAGAAATAGGCTGATCTATGATTTGTATGGAATATTTCATAGCAGAGAGGAAGACAATAAGAATTATTGCTGGGGAAATCGTCTTTTGAAGAGAGTATATATGCACTGATGTTATAATGGCCCATTGATACTGAAGGCAGAAGGAGAAAAAATAAAATTATTTTATAAGAAAAAGTCTGTTATACAGAGAAAGAATGCTATTGGATGTGGAATAACCCATTTACGAGGCAGGAAGAGGAGCAAATGGCCATTATTTTGGTATGCAAAGGCCAATAAAGGGTGACACTGGGGCTTATTTCCCTCTGCATCCATAGGACCTACTATGGTGCCTGGCATGTGGTAGGCACTTAGCAAACGCTTATGGAATGAGTGAATGGAAGAATGAATACATGGAAGGCCTTTATTTTTTCTTGAAAGAATGGATTACTGAGAAGGGTATGAGTAGAAATGACAGTTATGGCAAGTAGTCTGCTCTGGAATTAGCTGTCCGTGTGTGTGTTGGGTGTGAGGAGGTATGGCCATTGTCTATCCCTCTTGGCTCATGGGGTCAGGATGAGAGGCCTGGAAGGATGCAAAGGGGAGGATCTTGGGGACAAGGAAACTTATGAAATCTTCTTTTGGGAGAGCCCACAGGACCATGGGAGAAGCCTCTCTTTGAGGCACAGGGACAGAACCCTTCACTGCCTCCCTCCTTATCCTCTTGTCTTGCCCTCACTGCAGCCTCCCTGGATGCCTCCCCTGCCCTCTGTGCCCCTTCCACAGGCTGGGATGTGTCCTGGATCCTGATGCTGTTGCTCACAGCAGGCCAGGGGTTCACCATCCTGGTCCTCAGTATCATGCTCTGGAGGCGGAGGATCCAGGGGGCTCAGTGCAAAGGTGAGTCTCTTCCTATCAGAGGGAGGAAGACAGCATGTGGGTGCAAGGCAGACGATTGGGCTCACATCTTGCCTCTGTACCTCGTCTTCTCCATGGAAGCAGGGGGTAGGGAATACAGCTGAGTTATTTGGTGACTTCTCTGCCATACCCCATATGGTTCCTTCTCCCTAGGTGCCTCAATTCCTCAGTTTGAACCTGAAATCCAGGTCTATGAGAACATCCATTTGACCCGTCTCAGGTGAGGAACAACTAGGGGACAAAGGCTTAAATCCCAGAGGGGACTGGGGTTGGGGTGGACATAGGGCCCTGGTTCCTGAGGTGGTGGAGAATGGAAGTATCCTTAATCTATCTGTTTCACAAATCTCACAGCCCACCTGCTCCCAAGACCAGATGATCTCGGTGACATCTGCTGGGAGGTGACCTGCTGTCTCCCTGGCCATCTGGCACTTGAAGGATTCCCTGAAAACCTTGGCAAGGGGGGAGGGGTTGACAGGGCTACTTCATAAGTCCAACTGGTCTCCTGCAGCCAAGCTGGTGTGTGTGTCGGGAAGGGAGGGGGATGCTAAAGGAAAGGAGAAGCATTATTTCCTGATGTTACTGACAAAAAGGTGTGGTCTCCAGTCTTGTAGCAGCCAGTGGAGGGCGGCCCTGAGCCCATGATACCGCAGGATTATGTGGGGAGCCTGGCATAGCTGGCAGGGAGTGAAGAGGGGTGGGGATGGGCAGAGAGGAGACAGAGGAATCCAAGGACTTGAGCAGTGGTGGAGAATCAGGCATGGAGGAACCAGAAACAAACAGGGGATAACTGAAGAAGAAAGAAGGGAAGAGACTCAAGTCAGAGTAAGGGATGAGATTTTCAGAGAGAGGAAAATAGTAGGAGGATTGAGGGACAGAGAAAATGGAAAGAAAATGCAAGTTGCCCCTAAATTAAGCCAGCTCCCCTATCCTTACAAAGAAAAGAGGTCGAGCGAGAATACACACTTTTAATCAAACCCCAGACTTCCTCAGATGGAAAGGGAGGGAACTGAGTCAGTTTGGGGGTGCCTGTGCTCGGTCCCCACCCCAAGTCACCCTCCTTATCCCAGGCGCTCCATTGTGACATCCGGAGCAGTGAGCCGCTTATCATCACCCTGACATCCTGGGAGCCCAGAGTCAAGCTATCTCCCTAGGCAGAAGGAATGTCCATAGGAGTGGGTAGGCAGATTCTCTCGTGAGGTATATAATCGGGTCCCGCATGCTGGGCTGTCTGTAAACCATGGACAAGTCTGGGCTGGTGAAACAGGAGAGGGCATTGATGCTCCCAACTGGTCAATTCGCTAGATTCAGGAAGAATTGAGCTGGACTCCAAGCCACACCCTCACGGGCAACTCCTCCAAGTGCCCTTTTGTGCATCTGCTCAAGCTTGAACCTCACCGGAGAAAGTTTTCTTGGAAGTCTCACCTAAAGCCTTCATGCTGCAGTGGCTTAAGCTAAGCTGTTAGCAAGACGGAGGACGCGAATGACGGAGAATGAGGTGAAAGTTATGGTTCAGGTTCCAGCACCCAGCACGACCCACCAAGCAGCTACAGTTTACTTTTAGAGGGCATGCATGCACATACACTGCAGTGTTACCAGACTCCCCGATAGCATTTTAATTAAATTTACTCTTCATAATCCCCCAAGCCCTCCTTTCTGAGTTCCTGACCTACCAAATTAATCTTCCCTAGAAAGACTCACTGTACATGGGGCCCCTCCCAACCCCTTGCCTGGGACCCACAGCTCCAACAAAACACCTGTCTTGCCAGAGACCTAGGCCTGAGTGAGGGCATCAGCAACGGGCATGTAGAAAAGACAAATGGCACAGAATGAGTGTGTTTTATGAGGCTGGGTTCTGGACAGGTGCCTGTAGGGGCTGGAGCAGTGCCGATGGGAATCAGGTGCTTGGGATGGGTCTGCAAAGGTCTGAGGTCTCTGTATAAAATCACGTTCATGGTCATATCTCAAAAGTGTCTGTGCAGGTGTTTCCAGGGCCATAGTGATGGTGGGAGAGTCCTGGGTTGAGGGCTGCCGATCCCTATGAGGCTAGTGGAGGAAGTGGTCTCCCCAGGTGAAGCTGGCCATGAGGAGGAGTAGGGTGGTGAGGAGGGGACTGGGGGGTTACTGCAGCATGGTGGCCATATTGCACAGGCCCTGATCACAGCAGTGCTGCTGCAGAAGCAGAGGAACATGACCAGTAGGTGGCATGGCCTGGCAGAGGGCACTGGGCTCCTGGGAAACAGCCTTTGCACACAGTGATCTCACTCTGCTCTGTGGGACAAAGGGGGAATGCTCAGGGAGGGCCAGGAAGGAGGTAAGGGTCAGGGGGCAGGTGGAACAGCAGGATGGATGGAGATGGAGTAGGGTCATTGGACCAGAGTCGTACCTGAGATGCCAGTACTGATGCCACAAGCTTCATCATCCTGACACTCAGTGGGAACAGGGTAGCAGTGTTTAGCAAAGATGCATATGTGGCATAATAAGTCAGCGGCTCTCAGGGGAAGTGATGAGACCTGTGGGGTTGATGGAGATCAGGGCAATGGGGAGGAAAAGAAAACAAGCCAGGTGAGAGATGGAGCCAAGATCTGGGACAGGATAGGGATGCACAGAGAGAGATGACACACAAAGCAGGGAGAGAGAAGCAGTGAAATGAAGGGAGAAGGGCAGACAGAAGTAGAAAAAGAGACACAGAGAAGGGCAGGGAGATAATGCAGTAAAAAAGAAAGACACCGAGCAAGAGGAATACAGGGATTGTGAGAGTAACAGATTTGAACAGAAGCCAGGAGAATCAGAGATGAACTTGGAGAAGGACACAAAAAACTAGTGTTGGGAGGCAGCAGTGAAAAAGTTAAGCAGATCATACCAGAGACAGATGAGAAAATCGAAATTGACAATGACAGAGCTGTCCAGCAAAGAAGCAAGAAGTGAGATAAAGGACAGGGGAGACAGGCCACAAAGAAAGGGCAGTTATTCTCTGATGCCTTTGCATGAAACTTTGTCCGGTTCTACTTTATCAGGCTAGCCCGAGGCCATTCCGGGTAGCTCCCCTTTCTAAAGCTCTTAAAACTCTCCCCTTGGCATGTCTCAACCCTCTCTCACCCCACTGTCACCCGCAGCCCTCAGGCTCCTCCACGAAACCCTGCCCCCACTGCATCCCTCCACCCATCCACAGCTCCATGCTCCAGGGGATCTCCAGCCCACCTTTACCCAGTGCCCCACAGAGGAACAGGATTCAAGAGAAGGTGCTGGAGGTGCCCATGGCTGGGCTCAGGTCTCAGGAGTCTGGGAGAATGTGACCTGCACCCTGAGATCCTGAGAGTTGGTGCATTGGAGCTTCTGAGACAGAGAGGGACCAGTACTAGGGAGTGAACCTGGGACCAGTACTAGGGAGTGAACCTGGGACCAGTACTAGGGAGTGAACCTGGGACCAGTACTAGGGAGTGAACCTGGGGTGGGGAGGCTGAATGGGACCAGAGCCACCTGACGCTGCAGGAGCCCTGGCCCTGCTCTGGGCACACCATGTCTCTCTGCTGCCTACTAAAGTGTGCTCTTGCCTTGAGGGGCTTCTCTGTTCTCTCAGCTGCGATCTGTGCTCCAGAGTCTGTCACCTCCCCTCCTACTCCTTTCCCTTCCCCACCCTTGTCTCAAGCTGGTCTCTACTCTTTTAACAACTAGTCTCTTGTCTTTGCTTTCTCTGTCATTTCCCACTCTGTGCATTTAAGTCTCTCACGGTCACCCTCCTAAACAGCCCTAGCCTGAATCTGTTTGAGTGTGGAATCAACATATCTGCCCACCCACGCAAAACCCAGCGGCTTAAGGGAGGGACCCACTGAGAGGGCCCCACCCAGCTTCAGATCCTTTTGATTATGAACCTACCCCCCCCCAGCCTCAACATTCGTACCCCATAATTATCCCTCTCAGTTTTACTACCTGGAGGAAAGAATTGGTAACACTTGGGGTCAGAGGGACGATGTATTTCCACTGGGGCAGGGAGGTCAGTGGTGTGGGGGAGCATAAAGACTAGGAAGGAATGCAGGGATAAGATTTGGAGGCGGTGGTAGAGTCTGGTAGACAAGAGTTTAAAAGATTAGGGAGGAGAACTACATCTGGAGAAAAAGGGCAGGAATGTCCAAGGCGGAGTAAGACTGGGTGGGGATAAGGTGCGATGGAGGAGACAGCTCTCCATCCAGCAGCAGTTTTCTAAGACTTTTTTTTAACATCAAGACCTCTTTATACTCTTAAAAATAACTGAAAACCCAAAGAACTTTTCTTTGTGTGAATTGTATTGACATTTACTATACTAGAAATCAAAACAGAACATTATAAATACATTCATTTAAAAATTAAAATAATAAACCTACTACATGTAAACAAAACATAGTTTTGTGAAAAATAACTTTCCCAACAACAAGTGGCATTGCTTTACACTCGAGAAATCTATGGCAGGCTTAACAGTGTTGTGGCCACCAGCCCCCAAAAGACACACGGACCACCAGAAACTAGTGAGTTTTAGGAAGCACACTCTTTATTCAGCCAGCTAGGTCTGCCAGGGGTATGCAGACCCCAAATTAAGCAGCCCCGAAATGTAGAGGTACAGGATTTTTAAGCTCTAAATCCCATTCCTCATTCTGTCTTAAACACAAAGGTCTATTTTTCTCCTATTCACTACCTGTCAACCCACAGGTCGGGTGTGCAAGCAGGGGTACAGAAGCAGAAAGCTTAAAGTTAGAATGTTATATTCCCATGGGTGATAGCCTATGTTCCCATGGGTGTAGGGAGCTAAAGCTCCCCAAATTCAAAAGAGTGCATGGATTATCTCGGGAGGCCTGCTTGCATAAAAAGGAAAAGGCTGGTTCTGTGGAATTCCAGGAAGAAGAAGATTAAGTATAGATAAAAGGAGTGTCAAAGGAAGTGTCGATTGTGCCTTGATCTTCAGGATGTTACTTTTATTATGTTATTTTGGGATACACAAAGGAACAGATTATGTATAAAGAGAAGCATAAGAAATAAACTCGGAGAGACAGTTGTGAGATCTGTTCTCCCTCCTGCACCCTGTCTGTCTTCTCTTTTTTCTCAGTCCCCGCTCCCCCATTCAGGTACCCGGTTTGACTTGGTCGGCTGGCTTCCGACACATGGGCGATAGCCAAGCAGTAATTTTCCAGCCAGCACAACAGAAGATGGCTGGGTTTTCGTATATACTTCTGTAGTCAACCTGTTGGACTATTTGTTTTGGTTGAAGTATATGAAGAAAATCTGACCCCACAGCAATATGTGGTTGGGAAAGGAAAACTGTTGAGGACTCACTGAAAGGAGACCTTCAGGAGTTCTGGGGCCACAGTTTTAGAACCACTGCTAAAGATGGAGGAGTTTGGGGACTCCAAAGGATGCCAAGAGCTTTCTCCCATGAGGCTCTCTCCCTGTCCCCATCGGGATTCCTGGTGCTTGCTGAGGGAGACTCTTTCCTCCCTTTTTATTGCCCTATAAAGTCCAAGGCAAGGGGGATATAAGGCTGGCAGAACATGGCTAGGGAGAGGGGCCTGGGAGAGAGCCTAGGTCCAGCTCTTCTCTCCTGCCAGGAATCCACATGCTGTACTAGGACAGCAGTGGCAGAGGCCCTAGCAGCTCCTGCAAAGAGATAGTGACCATCTATGGTGAGAGCAAATTCTGTGGCTTCCTGGAGCACAATTCCCAACCAGGCCTGGGACAGAGCAAGCTATCTGGAAGTCGTGAGTCCTCAGTTTCCTCTTCTTCCCCCAGCCCTTTCCTGCTTCCAAAACCTTCCAGATCGAGTCTGGGTCTAGGCAGATGGTGCTGCTGGCAGTGTAGCTCCTTCTGGCTCCTGGCATTGAGCCCCTTAGGAGCCTGCTGATCGCTGTCTGTGTGGTCCCACCTCTCTTCTCTTTGCTCTCCAGAATCTCAAAGACCCATTCACTCATGGTTGTAAAAGCTCAGTCCCTTAAAGCAGGGACAAAAATATTAAATCAAACTTCAGTCTACAACTATGCTACCCTGAACAAGCCAGATACTGTCTGATCTTGGAAGCTTAGCAGAGTCGGGCCTGGTTAGTACTTGGATGGGAGACCACCTAGGAAGACCAGGTGCTGTAGGCATAAAAAATAAAAAAATAAGGGATTGTAAACTGACAAGGTCCTTGCAATCTGTGAGGTCAACCAAGGGTTGTCTTGCTTAAAAAATAATAACAATAATAATCAAACTTCAACTTTCAGGCATCAGCTAAGGACCAGGGAGGTATGTGTGTATTTTAATTTTTTGTTTTGAAATAATTTTATATGGATAGAAAAGTGGTAAAAATAGTACAGAGAATTTCTGTATATCCTTTACCCAGATTCCCCTAATGCTAGCATTTATATAAGATGTACATCTGTATAAGAGGGCAACTATACAGTATAGTTGCCCTTGAAACAACTCAGGGGTTAGAGGCACCCAACCCAGCTTGGTCAAAAGTTTGCATATAACTTTTGACTCTCCTCAAACTTAACTACAGTCGTCCCTTGGTATCTGAGGGGGATTGATTCCAGTTCGCCACCTCCCACCTCCTTGTGGATACCAAAAAGCTGATGCTCAAGTCCCTTATATAAAACGATTAGAACAATGCATACATACGTTTGGTCCTCTGCATCTAACTGTGGACCAAAAATACTGTTTTCAGTCTGCGGTTGGTTGAATCCAAGGATGTGAAACCAAGGGATATAGAGGTTTGACTGCATATTTATTGGAAAAAATCTGTTTACAATCGGACCCACACAGTTTAAATCTGTGTTGTTCAAGGGCCAACTGTACAATTATCAAACTCAGAAAATAACATTGGTACAATACTACTAATTAAGCTACAGACCCTATTCAATTTAGCCAGTTGTTGCACTCACGTCCTTTTTCTAAACCAGGACCCAAACCAGAATCCCACATTACATTTAGCTCGTGTGTTCTTAGTTGCCCTGAATCTGTGACATTTCTGAGCCTGCCTGCCTTCCCAACTTCCATGACTTTGACACTTTTGAAGAGTCCTGATAAGTCATTTTACAGAATGTCTCAATTTGGATTGATCGGATATTTTCTCACAATTAGACTGAGGTCATGAGCTTTTGGCAAGAATGCCACAAACCTGTTGCCGGTCCTCTTCAATGCATCACATCAGAGGGTTCGCAATGTAAATGTGTTGACTTTGATCACTTGGTTTTAGAGAGGTGTTTTTTTGAGGGGGCAGAGAATCCCTTTGGGTTTCTTGAAATCACATCTCTGCCTCAGCAGGCAAGTCCTCCAAGCAGGAGACCAACACCCAAGTCTCATTCTCTCTCTCAGCCTCAGGGCCCTTGACTCATCACCACCCAGCCTGCATGGCAGCCCATCATTGCAGTCAAGTGGAGTCAGAGTTGGAGATGTGACTTACACAACCCACAGGGACTGCTGCGTTGGAGACCTGTGCAACAGCGCTGTGGCAAGAACTGTGGCCCCGGCCTGAATCTTGGCTGCAGCAGCCACCACGTTGGCCTGGGTCTTACAAGGACTGTGGAGAGGGTAGTGAGAAGAGGAGGAGGAAAGAGAACGAAGGAGATCTGAGGTGAGATGACGCACACTTCTCTGTGAGCCATTAAAATCTATTAACTACCCTAGAGCTGACTGGAAAATTCCATCTCTCTTTTGTAAATGGGAGAGCCAAAGGAGTAATATGGGGACATTCGGGCTCTCTAGTTTGGGGTTACTAAGCATCAGTGGACTTAGTTATGATGATGCACTTCTTAACTGACTGAATCTAAAGGACAATGGAGAATCTGCCCTAAGTTACTCCTGGATCTTATTGCTAGGGAGAACCTTCCTTAGCAACCAGGATCACCAAGGAGCAGGCTCTGGGCTGGGCGGGAGTCACCAGGAATGAATGAACCTGGTTGTCTGGGTTGGTTCCCCTTTCCCCCATTTGAAGCTTGGCTCCCAATAGGACTCTTTTGATTTGAGGAAAGAAATAAATGTAAGCCGGTGATAGGAGGGTTGCTCAGTGCCCCACTTAGTAACCAGGCCAGGTGAGGTACTGACACTTGAAAGCAGAGTCCTGGGTCCTATCCCCATGCAACTCTCCTACCCTTTCTGGGGAGCCTTCAAGCCAGGCTATATCTCCCTCTTGGCAGAACATCATAGATGTGGCCTAAATTTGAGATAAGGATTGTTTCTCCAAATGCTGGGACCTGTGTGCCACCCCCAGATACTGGAAGGGAGCATAGAGGCCTGAAAAACTCGTTTCTCCATTTGCCCCAGCCCAGCCTTCCAGGGAAACTCCCTGAAGGATTCTTGGGTAAGGGCAGGGGCTGAGAGTGTTACTTCCTGGGAGGGGGCCTCTGACAATAGGTATTCTGACAATAAATGCACCATTTATCAGATACAGACATTTATTACTCAAAATGGAAAGAGGTGAGTAAGAGGATGGGGTATGAATGACAGCCAAGGTTTGGGGAATCAGCCCCATACACTGAGGTCATCAAATCTATTCTCGGAGCCTTCACTGAAGACAGGACAGAAGTCCCATTTCAGACCCAGATCCCAATCTCTCCCCAAGTAGGGCACAGTACAGTGCAGGAGACAAAGTAGGGAGCCCTTCTAGAGGCCAGTGGAGGATCTGGAATGGTCTAGAGGGAAATGGGAAGGGACTGGAGAAAAGCAGAGAGGAGGTTGTTGGGTGGAATTATGGATAGGGAGACCACTGTCTAATTAAAGAAATGTGAAGGGTCTGGAGAAATGTTTTTCTGAGCAAAGGGAGCTGGGGGGCGGCCATCGTGGAAAGCCAGGGGATATGGAGACACAAGGAGAGGGGCTCAGGTATGGCAGGTGGGAGGAGGGGCAGCCATGGAGTGAGTCTCAGTGCAGCAGCCAGAGACCAAGGCCAGCTAAGGAGGTAAGGAGGACCAGGGCTATGGCTGGGGTGGGCCGAGGGGCTGGGCTGTTGCAGTTGTCCTTGTTACAGCAGGTGGTGTTATAGGTCAGCCCCAGCTTGTGGCTGGTTTGGTTGAAAACCTCCCGACAGGGCTCTTCTGGTGTGCCACAGCGAAGGTTGGAGAAAACCCACAACTTAGCTAGGGGTAGGAGTGGGCCGTGGGGGCAGCTTGGGGGGACCTG